ACAAGTCCACAATGTGGGATTCTACGCAGAAATTCCGAAGGGGAGCGTGCAGCTAGAAGAAGGAGCACCGGACCGTGTCACCGAACGGATGACACCAATCCTGAAGCGCAAAGGAGAGCATGAGCCATCAGCCCGCAAGGGCAAGGCGAGGGCATCGATGCAACGTGCTGAAGAAGAAAAGGATGAGAGCCCTGATTTAGGAGACGCAAGTGCTCCTCGCACCCGTGGAGCGATGGCGATTCGAATTGATGCTGATAAATATATGTTTCAGCTTGTCGAGGACCGAACAGTGGTTCAGGCGCTTACGGAATACGAGCCGATAAAGGAAAACATGTACCGCTGTAGGCCTCGCCGAGTACTTAACGAGGTAATTCGAATTTATGAGGAGTGTTCAAATTAGCGTGTTATATTGTGCGTTCGTTTGCGGGCACCAGGACGAGATCCCAATGTGTCATTGCTCAATTCAAACGGAAGGGATGACGACACGTGGGGATGACTGCGAGAACCGATCGGTGAGCGAACTGTTGCTACGTATGGTGCTTTTCTAAATGTCACCTATAATGATATGTTTGCTATTGTAGATGCAGATTGAATGTGTCGAAAATTGCTGTAGCAGCGGAATAGCTAGCACCAACCAACGCATGCAAGTAGGCGCCACACCAGTGCTGTCGGTGAAAAAGCTACCTGGCAAAGGGTTAGATCTCTTTCTGGATGAGAATGTTGCAACTGGCAGGTTCGTATGCCAGTACACTGGCGAAGTCATAAGTCGACTGGAGTATCGACGGAGAGCGCAAGTAAGAGTGGGTGGAATACGAGTGTCCGTGAATAACTAGTGAATGTAGACGTTAACTGCATGTATTTAGGAACTTATCGGGGCTAGGAATTACTACGGTATGCGAGTTGGAAGGAACGAGATCATTGATGCCAGACACCACGGAAGCCTTGCCCGATTTGTGAACCATAGCTTCAAACCCAACTGTACTGTCGAGAGGTGGGAGGTACAGGGTGAAACCTGTTGCGGTATTTTTGCCTTTACCGACATCAGTGTTGGCGAGGAGGTGACAATTAATTATTCGTCTGGATCTGGGACGACGGAGGTAAAACCAGCATACTGTTTGGATTTTTATGATATTTATCTCTTCTAACAGGGTTGTCCAGAAACGAATGCCGTGCGCATGCACTGCTGAAGGCTATCGTGGGTTTCTTCCAAAGTAGTAATGCTAAAAAGGGGAAACGAAAAAAAACAAGTTGTCGAATCGCGTTATTATATACTGTTCAAAGAACGAGAAACACAGCTAACTTTTAGTTTCTCGGATAATTCGTTGGATAATACTAATCGTTTTGGCTGGAGGTCGCTATATATATACTTGTAACTTGTAAAAAAGAAAAACTTTTTTTATCGGGAAATATTACAAAATAAATTATTTTATTTTCTTGGATAAATCTGGATAAGATACATGTTCCTAGGATACAATACGAGAACCAGGCTTGTTGAAGTTGACAATGGGTAAACATCTCTGTTGTTCCGTGAAAGAAGCAACTGACGACTGTTTGTTCTGCCCCATCGCTATACGTCTTCAGGGCACCTTCCAGGATAGAATCAACTGACAAATGTTTGTTCAGCCCATCCCTTGATACGTCTTCAGGGTACTTCCAAAAATTTAAAGGCCTATGAAATCTAACGAAAGATACTAGACGTAATTAAAGTGCACTAAAAGTGCTACAGTACTTCTGCCAATATAGTGCTTGGCAGTTGCGTTGAATCTCAACCTCAAAATGTCCATCTCCAGACCCTGAAC